GTCTGAGGCCACAGTGGGAATGCATTCCACCTCTTTCTGTCCATCCCTGGGCATGGTCAGGTCCTATGATGAAATGGAATAGAGTGTGCTGACCCCAGAGTTCCCAGGGGTGGGCAGGAGGGTGTCGGGGCTTCAGGAAGAGACAAGGGAGCCCCATTGTCCCAGGTCATCACAGGACAGTGAGATCCACATGAGACATCTCCTGGAAGTCCCCATCCCCCCGGGAAGACGGGCCCTGACTCAGGTGGGTGTGTGTTTCACTCCACAGAGGCAGACTGGGAGGACAGCATGGTGTCTGGGCTCTCCCTGGTCCAGGGTGACATTTCAATCCATGCAATGGCCAACGCAGGACGGTTGGCCCATCCATCCAAACGTTGATCATCTCTCTGCGTTGGGAACGTCTTCGAGCTGTTTTGAAGTGTGGAGTGTGAAGTCTACCCACTTACTGTTGTTGTCTTCTCCAGCGACCCTCCTGGGAACAGGACACCAGGACTCACTTGTCCTATCTGTATTTTGTCCCTACTATTCGACCTCTCTCTCTTCCCCTCCCCATCCCTGTCCCAGCCTCTAGTCACCTCTGTCTTATTCCCTAATTCGAGGTGTTTTGAGAGGACGCTGGTGACGATGCTGTGTTGGCAAGAAGGGACGACTTCCCGATCATGTGACACGGAGGCCGTGAAGGAGGTCCCATCAATGCTCAGGCTCTGGTCACCATGACAGCATGGCCCTCCTCTGGACTGTGTAGAGAAGCACGTCACTCACTCAACACTCAAGAGTATTTCTCCCAGGCTAAGGAAGCTCTTATGGCCACATTCAGACACAATATGCCATTCATCCCTCCTCCGTGCTCCTGCCAGGTGGGCACGGCTCAGCTGCACAGATGACAGTCCTGGGACCTGGAAAGGTGAAGGCCCGTGGTCACCTAGCTGCTAAGCCTCAGAGGTGGGAGCAGAACTGAAAGCCGCCATTCTTCCAAGTCCTCCTGCGGACGTGCCGGGTGCACATTAATGAAATCGCCCTGGCGTCCTGACCGCTTCGCCCCTTCCTTGTCCCACAGCCCCTCGGCTAGAGTGACAGCTGCCTGCTGGACGCCAGCCTCCCCTGGTCTTGCTGTCATCCTCTCCAGCCTCCTGAGCTGACCAGAGGGCTGAGAGCATGACAGGCGTCCTGAAGGCCAGGAACAACGGTGCGAGGTACTGCCACCTGGTGGCGACTCTTTGTATGTCATGTCAGCCATTCCCATTTTCCTGTCTGCCCCAAGCTATGTGCAAGCTTCGTGAGCACCCCAGGTATACGCAAGCCACCAAGGATTTGGTAATTATTTTTCCCTCTTAATGAACCTGATGAGAGTTCTAAAATTTTTATTCATCATTTCAAAGAATAAGCTTCATTTTCATTAAAAATTCTCTTTTGCGCGCCCATTTTCTTCCCACTTGCCTCTATTTGCTTTGTGTTTTAACATCTCCTTTCTTAGAGGAAACGTAGAGGGTCAACTAGGGAGTTTCGCTCCTTTCTACCTAAAATCACTTAATGCCATGAAACTCCCTCTAAGCAGCGCCTCGGCTGCTCTCCCTCAGACCTTGGAGTGTCCTGCTTTCCTTTCCAGTCAGTGAAAAATGCTTCCTGATTTCTCTTGTGATTCCTTCTTGAATATTTAGAAGTAAGTTGATTAATTTCCAAATATTTGGGACCTTTTCCAGATATCTTTCTGTTATCAATAGCTTTGTGGGTTCCACTGTGTCCAGACACCATATTTTGTATGGTTTTAAACTGTTCTGCTTTTTGAGACTTGTTTCCTGGCTCAGTGTGGGCCGTACTGGGTGACTTTTAATGCATTCTACTGTGAGTGAGTGGAGTGTCCTGTAAATTTCACAAAGGTCACACTGGGTGACACTGTCATTCAAGGCTTCTCCACTGTTATTCTGTCTGTTTTTCCATCTATTACAACGAAAAAAAATGTTGAGGTATCCTGTTGCAATTCTTAATTTGTTTATTTATTCTCTCATTTCCACGATTTTTTCTTAACAATTTCTCTTAGATTCTATTAGATGTGTACTGATTATTTGCTTTTTTTCTCCTTGTGATTTAACCATTTTATCTTTAGAAAAAATACCCTCATTATCCCTGGTAATACACTGCTTGTTCTAAAGTCTGCTCTGATCTGTAATCAATTAACCAATAGATTAACCAATTAACCAATTAAACCAAGATTAGTCAATTAACCAATGTTTTCTTTAGATTAATGTTTTTATATGTCTGGTTCTTCTGCTTTAACCTAACTTTGTCCTTGTATCTGATGTACAAAGTGGGTCTTTATTATTGCCTACCTATTACACAGCACAATGGGTGTCATTGTGGCCTATTCTTCCTGACCGACAGCGTGCCTTTGGCTCTTGTTTCTCACCTGCTGCAATCTCTCCCTTCCTGAGGTGTCTGGAATGTGGGCAGCCTGCTCCTTCCATCTTGCAGAGACTCTCCTCCACGCCTGCATTTCCTGGTGCAGGACTGGTGCAGGAGGGATTCCTGTGTCTTTTGGGTGGAGCTGAGATAGTGTGGTCTTTGCTTTGGTTTGTGAAGCGCTCCTGCTGGTGTGGAACTGGGCCGCACACGGCTCCTGTGGACCCTGGTGGGAAGCGTGCTTGATCCTCTCTCTGAGCAATGTGTCTTCTCGAGCTGTTTGTAAGATGTTCTTTTTGTCACATTTAAAATACTCGGATTCTGATGTGCTTGGTGCGGCTTTCTTTGTTCATTCTGCTCGTATTTCTTTGAGTCCTCCCTTTGTGGGTCACAGTCTCACCAGGCCATTGTTTCCTGTCTCCTCCTCTGGCTTCCTCTGACTCCAAGCACAGCCCGATGCTGGGCTGGTGAGGTTTGCACTCAGCCCACTGTTAAGGTTTTCCCAGTCTCTCCTTTCACTCTCACTCAAGCACACTTTCTCATTTGTTTGTGCTAAAATAGATGCTGGCTTTCTGATCCTTACCGTCACACACCATTCGTCCAGCTCAGTATATTTTAATTCAGATGTTTATTTTCATCTCTAGAAGCTCCGGGTTAGAGAAGTTGCAGAGGCTCCTGGAGAGCTCCACGCAGCTGATGGCATTGCTCAGGGGAGACTGGAGGCCGGTGCTGGTGGGACCTGTGTGCCTCCACCCCTGTGTGTGCCCCCAGCCCTGTGTGTGCCCCCAGCCCTGTGTGTGCCCCCAGCCCTGTGTGTGCCCCCAGCCCTGTGTGTGCCCCCAGCCCTGTGTGTGCCTCCAGCC